CCAACAGAAAAGCACAATATCCACAACAGATGAGAAGCAGTAACATGACAGCCCTAACTACTAAGGTGTGTTACTYATGGATAAAGTTTGCATGAATCCTTCATGGATAGCAAGAAAACCCTGCCTACCACAACCAACCAAAACCCAAGAAACACCAACTTAAATCACACTTGGTTAATGATGTGAAAGGCTTAGGAGTTGGAGGGTTTTTGGAGGTGGTGATGGAGGATTTTGGGGTGTTTTTGTTGGGTTTATTTCTGGCTCTCCATTTGCAGCTATTAGAGGCACTGGTCTATAAGTAGAYCAAATACAATGTGGGGCTTCACATTAGCTAGAAATAATCCACAAAAGACATTTCTTGGCTCGTCCSACTTCTTACATTTAGAAAAACCACCCATCATCTGATTCAGACTCCTCACTGTCTTTTTTATTATTATTAATTATTATATGGCTTTCAAATGACACTTTATAAAGTTTTTTTTTGCCTTTGACCATAAGCTAAAAAATTCCAGTACTCAATTTGCTGTACCAGACCCAGAAGACAGCAAACTTGCTTGTTTATCACAGAATGATGCATATGCTATGAGACGGGGGAGGAGGAGGAGGAGGAGAGTCACAAAGGGAGTGGGGAGTGGTTTGCATATTAACAGCCCGTGCTTGAGCACATCAGCCTTTTCCACCGAGCTCGGGGTCAGCGCTCAGACGGAATCCTGTACACCGAGGAAGGGACCACGTATCACTGCACCAGAGTGAGTTCTGTTTCAGCTTTGCTACTGCCACAGCCTGGCTCCTCTCTTTCTGCTTGCTTCTTTGATCCTACTGTGCCCTCCCTAGGCTGCTGTTACAGTGGCTGTGTGGGAGGTTAGGCTCTCATGCAGAACAGGTGCTGAGAGAATTTAATTTTTAGCGTTTTGTTCGATTTATTCAGCCTGACTTTGAGTGGTGCTACCGGCAGAGGAGCTCTATAGAGTAATTAGCTGCAAGTGTAACTCAAGTACCCCATCTATGCACCTTCTCTGCTACTTACAGGCACCTTTGAACTCCCTGCTGCCTTTAGGAAACCAGTACAAACATATGCACTGCTAAAACCAGACTTTACCAGAAATTATGAACTGCTTTTCTAGAATAAAACAGGCAGATCGCTGGTCTGTTCTAACAGCAAGCCCTGTTCCTCATCAGTGCCTTGTGCAGTCAGTACTGAGCTACTTTGATAATTAGGCTACGTGTCAAGGTACTTCCCAAAGAAAAGACAACCCCATCAGCAAAAAAAGTCACAATAAGGAAGCTCTGGGCATTCTGCAGGAATTTTCAGTAAGTGAAAACCCATTTCAAACCAATATTCCATTAGATGTAAAGGCTGACTGAAATGCCTTCTCTTACATAACCAAACTACATCTAGGCTAACATCAGAGAAATCAGATAAATTAAGCAGTACAAACCAATTATTCTGGATCATTTTTGTGCACTGTTCTGTTTATTTTTCAAATTCCTGTCTTCCAAACCAATGGATTAACACACTGTGGTCCTAATTCCCACCATCATTCTACAGAGAAAAAAAACCTCCTTCATCTGCTACACACAGTCCATTTTCCTCCTCATCAAAACTCACAGGTTTTTTTGTTGCTGATATTTGTCTTTTACTTCAAAATGATACTCTAAGTTGCTGTTAAGGAGCTTCCTTCTTTAATTTGAACTGCTGTAATTTTCTTATGTACATAATCCTCCCACACACATTTCCTCTGTTAAAAGCCATTTCTTGGTCACTGTTCATTTCAGACTATCTAAGTAAACAAACTGTAGCTATAAAGTACCTTTTCTGGGCTTCTGTATTCCTTAGAACCGTTTGTAAACTAGTACTCTTATACTCAGAAGTTGCAACGTTTGTGAAAAAAAAAAAAGAAAAAAAGATACAGAGGTCTTTTTGTAAGTTTACTTTTGTTCATTCTTTTGTTTTCTTTAATCCCAAATAGAATCCACCTCTCCCTAAAAATACTCACATTGCATAAATTAACTCCCTGCTGCAGATGCATACGTACCCAGGCACACGGTCAAACCTATTTGTATGGAAATAAGATGGAAGCTCTCCAAATTTAAAGCTGAAAATACACACCAAGTAATTCTTAGAATTCTGAGTTTGTGCACGGCCGAACACGTTAGCCAGCACTGCACACTTCTGTGCCACTGATGAACGCTGTTCCACACAGCATTCTCCTGAGCAGCCGGAAAGCAGAAGCAATTGAGATTGGTGCTCATTTTTTAAACACCTTTGATTGAAATCTCACCAGAAGTAATTACACTGCCCAGGAGCCACTGACGTGGCTGGTGTTGTTGGGCTAGCAGGGGGCACACCCTCCCACATAAAGCTATGCTTACTCACACCTGCTGAAGACTTATCATTTGYGCTGCAAATCCCAAACAGGTGAATCTTTTACCCTTATGACATTTAGTCCAAGGAAGGGGAGGAAAAACAAAGGGGAAGAAAACCTGCCAAATCCCAAACTGCCACCACTTCGAACAGTGTTGTTTAATCTTGAGTCAATCTGCTAAACTCCCATAAAACAAGTTACAACAATGAACTGAGAAAAACTGAAATGCCTAATCTTGAATCTCTTTAGAAGTAACTGAAAATATTGCTGGGATAACTTAGTAAAGCATAAGCATGAAGTGGAATAAGCACAGACAGACTGTGCTATGCTTTGTATTTGTAGCAGATGCAAAGGGTGAAAGCAAAGAGAGCTGTCTCAAGCTTAGTTTAGTTGATGTGTGACAAAAAAACAATGTGACATGTTACAGCCTCTGTAACTGTATGTCTCGGGCAAACGACCTTTTTTTTTGTGCCAGGCAGTAAGCACAAAGAGCCAGACTAGCTGGTGTTTCCATGAACAAAGGTGGCTGCAAGCTGCCTCACAGAAAGTACTTTCTTCTTCAGAGTGGGAACACACAGGTTAGGGTTTACATACACAGCAGTTTGTGACTGTAACTCAGTCCTGAACGCTTATCACTTCTGGCCAAATCTAGTGGACTCCAGGCTTCTGGCTGGGTGCTGCTCAGGGCTGTAGTCCACACTTGGCAGCGCCGGTCCTCTCAAGAAGATTTGACAATACCTGAAGAACACTGTAGCAAGGCTCTGGGTCTCCTTGGGCTCATTCAGCTACTAAGAAAATAATTTCAAAATACCTGAAAATACTTGAGATCTGTGCCCCAGCCCACTGTAGTGGTGCCTCCTGGACAGGATGGTCTGTACCAGGCACCATAGGGCAGAGCAGGAGGACATCAGGAATTTGTGACAAGTAAACATAGTGAGTGGGTGGTACTGGAGAACTCTGCAAGTGAATAAAACCTTGCCCAGTCAAACCTGTACCAGCTACAAGCTTTATATACAGAGCTTAAAAACCTATTTCCTTCATGCCTCTAATTTTATTTCTAGCAAATTGTACAGTGGGCTCACAACATGCAACAGGTCAAGAGCAAAGTAGTTTAGACAAGCAGTGGGAAGGATTTTGAGCTTTTACTCCCCCTTGCACATAGACACACACTCACATCCACACGTCTGGGACAGAAAAAAAGGCCCACTTTTCACATCCAAGGAAAGATACAAATTTTTCTGCAGACAGTTGTTAAGCAAGTTATTGTGCTGGACAAGCTTGAGAGTTCGGAAAATGGACATGAAATTATCCTGGCAAAAGTAGCAGCTGCCTTTGGAGAGCAAATTAAAAAACAGAGAGTAATGTCACTCTCAACTGAGCTCTGTGCTTTGCAGGAATATTGTGAGGTCACGCTGATTCAGCTGAAGAATCTGCAGATAGAGATGCGAAGCATGACTTACAGGAATGATTTGAGTTGGCAAGCATTCAGATTACTGAGGCTTTTGTTTACCACAAAATGCTTCTGAGAATTCTTAAAACACCTGATGTAGAAATAAAAGACTTAAGTAGTTCTTCCTAAGAAATTATCCTAACCACTTTTGTCTGCATCTTTCCCCGAGATCTGTCTTCCTGCATTTTTACTTACCAGTACTTACAAGTCTTGGGTGTGCAATCTATTCATCTGAAGGAGGCTGTGCAAAGCAATTTCAAAGTTATCTACATAAAATTGGGACCAAGTAGATGCAAATCCAAAGACTGAGGATCAGACAAAAAGCAAAGTCATCACAGATGCTCAGGCCCTAAAGGGAAGGGTGTGGCAAACCAGGCAGACTGAGGACACTGCTGAGGTGGCTCAGCAAAGCCCTGTCCATCACCACTTCCCTGCCTCCTTAATCCTGGCATGTGAGAGCTCCCTCATTCACTTCAGTTCAAATAAACAGGGTGAACTTCAGATATCTGAATGTATTCTTATCAGTTTGACTGCAGTTGCCTGAGGGGCAAACACATGAAGGACAACAGTTACAAACTCAGCTCAGGGAAACCCAGGCTTTCTCCTTCAACATGTCCTGACAATGGGCACCCAGTCAGTGCCCAATCACACTGGACTCTCACTTTCAAAAAAATCCCTTCATATTTTCCTTATCCTCCTGTTGTACGAATACATTTTGGTTATTTTTATAAAAAGAATTAAAAAGTGGAGTTTTTTCCTGTGTTCTGGAAGGATTTTCGCTGGAGTTCTAATTTTCCACGTCAGCAAACCAAGCCTGGAGCTTTCTCGGAGAGATAATTGCTTTAAGGTCTCCTACAGCTCCTTTTTTTAAGCCCACATATTGACAGATCAGGCTTTATTCACAGAGTTTTACTCATCAAGTCACTTAAAATACTCATAATCATTAGTACTACTCAATACTCTCACAGTAATGCCTTAAAACCTCTTCTTGTTTTAGGAGACTGATTTCCCCCATGTCACAAATAAGCAGTACACTGAGTAAAAAACATGCAAAACCCTTCCAAAAAAGATTCTATGTCTACATGATACTTTAATTCATGCATGCATCTAACCTTCAAAATCATGCTAGGATATATCAGGCCACAACCATTTTATTTGGATTTTTTTATTTCAAAACACAACCCTACATCAAATGGCACGAATATATACTTTAGACAATTCATGTATTAAACAGAAACGGGTACATAGATTTCGCCCCTTTTCTCTCCAAAGTCCAGTTTCCTATCTGGCCTAGAAATAGAAGAGATCAAATTAAAATGCTTATTTTCTGTAACTGGGACAGAGTGGGAAAAGAGACCATCAATTTTCAGAAAGACAGCTTATGTCAGACTGAGAACAGACAGTAAATAGAATTACTTGGAGTTTTTAATTTTATTTTCTGTCAAAACACAGATTGCTGTGGAAATCTTCCATTGGAAGACCTTCAGTCTTCCATCAATCTGCCAATATTCTCTAATCCTTCTCCCTCAAAAGATGTCTTCTTTGCTAAAAAAAAGAATAAAATCATCTTTTGGCAGGAAGAATCTCACAAACCATCAAATCATTATTATTCTTGATTTTCAAAGGCTGGTTCTTGCTGAATGGATTTCTCAGCATCAAACTTTACTTTCCACAAAAAGGACAAGTACATCACTATTTCTCTTCATAATTTCAGCTCAAATTTTATAAAGAAAATATTTACACTGAGAGCCTTAATGAGATTAATTTTTCACCCAAGAGAAAAAAATGGAAGGCATTCCTGCAGCAAACAATCGGATCAGTAACCAGGAGGGCAGCACCACACCCACAGGCAGGGCAAGGCTGCTTCTCAGATGGATTCCATCTTTTCAGCACTGCTCAGACAGGAAAATGTAAACAATTGTGCCTTTCCCCAAAACCTTGTTATGTTGGTTAAATAAAAAGAAAGAAATACTGCACACTAACATTCTCTGTTTTGCCTACCTTGTATGTTTTATGAAGTTACAGCTGTGAAAGCTTTTCTTTCTTGCCTCCTGCAGTAACTATTTTAGTCTTGTCTCTCCAGTTTTCTTCCTCTGAAATCTGAAAACTTAAAAAAACCAAGGCAGAAAAAATCACTTGGACAAGTAAAGCATCTTTTTAAAATTGAGGAGGGAGAAAGCTGCTTTAAAGCTCAGCTCTCCAGTCACAGGGATGAGGAATTCACATATATGAGAAGGACAATGAGRAAGACAAGCAAAATTGAACTTACTATTCCTAATGTTTCTCAAGTGAAACAAGGCAGACTAAGTCTCTTTGGTAGTTAAAGGTTTTTCTTTGTATTCCGTGACATAACTCTCCCCACTTCCTAAGGATTAGAACCAAAAATCCATGCTTTGTACTTGGGTAAGTCAGGTCACTCAAAATTTACTTGATTTTCAGGTCAACTTTGCAGAAAAATTTCTTAAAGAAACAGCAAATGCCTTGAAAACAGAAAAAAAACAAAACAAATTTTTAAAAAATCCCAAACTGACCAGCAACAACAAAACAACATACACACAAAAACCCATCCCAGAAAACCAGAAGAGAGAAAAATGTCCACAAAGCTTTTCACCTTTGCATAGATTAGTGCTTAGAGAGGACACAAACTCCATTTCACACTCCATAAAGCAAGATTCTTCTTGGCAGAAAGATACCTGTAGCCTCGCATGAGTGGAAGCTGATTTGTTGTTATACTTTCATCCTATAAAATCATGAAAACTGAATATATAAACAGCTCCAGCAACTCAAACACTGTGAATTGATACAACAGCTTAGTCTTATAATAAAATAAACAGAGGTATTCATTGATTTAATCATCACTCCTGAATCACTGTCATGATCTGGTTGCAATTCAAGAAAGGAAAATGGCACTTGGCAGCCGAGACCTCCAGCTTCCCCTTTCCAGCAGGCCCGAGGGCAGCATTGTGTCAGTCACTAACTATGGTGCTTTCCACAAGCGACTCTGAAATTAATGTAGAGCCCTCGAGCCCTCATGTTAAATAAATATAAATACAGTGTAATGCATCATCTTTTCCCAATCAGGCAGTTCAAGTCCAAACTTCTAGAACCACCCACATGAACCTTACCTCAACCCTACTGGTCTTGCTTCCTGGAACGGCTGGGCTTTTTTTACATCGTCTAGCAATGATGAAATCTTACGACAAGAAAACCCTTCATTTCTTGCAGCACAAAGTACAGTTAAAGGGGACTTTGGATGCATCTGAAAACACAGCTCAACTTAGCCATCTTCCCCTCTCCCCCCTTCTCACCCAGCTCAGGGAAAGCTCTCTGCTGTCACCTCAAATACTAATTACCCTATACAGGCAAATATAATTTTGTGCTGCCGTTAAAAAAGTATTTTCTTCTGAATTCCCGTACTGAGTATCTGCATTGTCGCGTTCCACCGCAAGGGAATCGCAAAGAGAATCTTTCAAACACTCCAATCTGATGAAACAAACCACAAACGCGGAGAATATTGTATCTGAGAAGTATTTACTGATAAAGCAAGATAAGCGTTCCTACCGAAAGGGGACAGAAGCGAGAGCAGAGAAAAGAGGGACGGAGAGAGAAATAGATAGATATGTTACCGCTGTACCCCGGGCGCCAGATGGTATCTGCTTGACAGGCGGAGCGTCCTTGCTGTGAGCTGCGAGGAGTCTGCGCGGCCTTTGCGACCGCCTGGGCGCGACTTGCGGGCGGCGGCGATCCGCGTGTGTGTCCCGCCTGGGGAACGAGGGCTAAGGGCGGGCTGCTGCGGGGCCAAGCGGGAACAGCCGCGGCTCGAAGTGCTGCGATGGCCGCGTGTAGGGTGCGRGCGGGGCCGGAGGAGCAGGAGAAGGCTGCCAGGCAGGCTGCGAGCGGCGTCGGCGGCCCGAGGCTGCTGCGGGGAAGCGGCGAAGCAGCGCAGGCGGAGCAGGGAAGAGGTAGGATGGGCCGCGGGGCTGAGGCAGGGCGTGCAGAACAGCAGGGAGAAGGCGAACTGAGGCGGAACAAGGAGAACGGGCAGACAGAGCCCCTGCCGCCCAAGAAACCGCGCGAGCGTGCTCCGGTAATGGCGCTGTTATTTGCGTTTATGTTCTAAACCTCCTCCCATACTCCGATTGACCACTGGCTACTCGGGACATTTTCCTGCCTGCAGCCTAGTGGTGGAAGTTTTCTCTGTCCTGATTGACTGCTAGGTGGAGTCCCCTCACAGCTTCCCGCCATTTTCTGAAGGCGTTACCGCATAGAGACGCTAAAATGGCGGCGGTGCCCGCCCCTCACGTGTCCCGGCTGCCTCCTGCACGTGGGTCCCGTCAAGGCGCTATTGGAATTTTCCAGCCGGTGTCAGAAAACGCATTTATAACATAAAACCTCGACAGCGTTGAGGCATAAATAAAAATTATATTGTCTCCTCAGCATGCATCCACGTTTTGGTGCCTGTTACCAGCCAGAAGAGTGTTTTCTTGTATTGCGGGGCTGCATTTTCTCAAAAGATGAAACGCTGTTCCTCTAGAGAGCCCAGCAGAGTTTTGATGCTTAATTTTGCTGAGGTTGGGCATGCAGGAATAGACAGGGCCTACCAGAGGCTGCCTGCTCTGTACACACACAAAACTCATCCTTGAGCAATGTTTAGTCAGCCAGTGCTTTTTTCCTTTCTATACTACTGCTATCTGCAGCTCAGCATTTCAGTGTCCAGGGAATGCTGATTCCTTCCTGGGCTCTGCTTTTTAACTCTACTCTTGCTTGAAGTTTTAAAATTGCTCAGTCCTGCTTCAGCTGGAAAAAAAGCTTCCCAAGTTCATCAGGAAATACATAAAGCCACAAACAGTTTTGAATAATTTGAAATCTGTTCTAAAATTCTTAGACACTTGTAATTCAAACTTCGATTTTTTGACTCATAAATGTAACGGTAGGTACCAAGTTTACACATATTTGACATTCTCTCAGATTTCCTGTTCGATTTTGTCACCKAGTGGTTCCAACAGTTGATTTAATCATGAGATCCATTAATCTTCTGTTTAAAGGTATGTTAAAGCCAGTTAAGCTGGCTTTCAGAAAGTCACAGAGGAAAGCTAGGAAATCAGCTAAGCGAGTCAACAGCTCCAAAGTATTAAAGCTAATTTATTAGTGAATTTAAAGCTGCTGAATTCATGGCTTTGAAAGGTGTATGCAATGAAACTGAGACTGAAGCGCTGTCAGTGTAGGACAGAGAAGTTGTTCAGGGCCGTCCCAGCCCTGAATGTGTTCATCATTTAGAAATTTGAAAAACACTGCTTTGATCTCAGGTTTATAGGTGGAAGGTGAATCAGCCCCCTCTTGCCTCTATGCACACCCAGCTTTGCAATAAATTCACCTGAACAGATTTAAYAGCACTAAAAAGGTGCGAAATGCCTGCAAGCCTGGGCACTGAGGCCCACTCACCACCACCRTCTTTCAGTATTTTTAAGCCATGACTAACATAAAAAAAGAGAAATAATTTTAAATCCTGCTCACCACCTCCAAAAAACCCATCTTCACCCCAAAAACTAACTCAAAGACACCAAATAGATCTTCTCCCCCTAGCAATGACATTTTTTTTTATAATTCAGTAGTTTTGAATGGTTTTATTTTGTTCCTTATGATCCCCTTCTTTATAAAACATGCTGGGAAAATGAGGTAAAGAGGACAAGGGAAAGAAACAAGTAGGCTGTTAGGGTTTGTTTGRCAAAAAGCTATTCTGAACACAACCATTTCTTTCATTTAGACTCTTATCTGTAATTGTTTAGGAAGCACTACTCCTGACATTTCACAGTAAATATAAAYAAAAAATAAAACCTACAAACATTTACAAAAACATGYTTACAGTAAAGCTATAAAGGCTTTTAAAATGTCAAGTATCTTTGGTAAACTCCTTGTWAGATTGGTTTTGGTTTTTTTTTGTTCATGGATGGAAAAAAAACCCCGTAAGTTTAAAAGTGCATCACCACTGCAAGTACTTGATTACTCMTTACGGTGTGGTCATTAGAAATTTGTTTAGCTTTGCTTTAGACAATTCAAACAATAGCKTCCTCTGCTTCCTTGACAGACCAAACTATTCCACTGTCTACTACAACAGGCAGGGAGACTTCCTGATCRTCAGCCAAAATTGCCATGTCTTACATCATTTCACCTCTCCTGTTTAGACRTGTCTTTGCTTATAAAGTGCTCCCACAGTAAGAACTGGACTCTTCCAGCATACTCACCTACAGGAATGTTTAGGTCTTGGCCATCTCCAGCCCTCACAACTGCACTTAAAAATCTACTGTTCTTATAATTTTAAATACCTTCCAGCTGAACTATTTGCTAACACAAGGCTAAGTGGACTAGGAGCAGCTGGGAAACAGGAGCCATGTGTGAGTGGTGCAGCAAGTCCAGGGCACTGGGACTGCTGTAGACATTTGTGGAAAAAACTATGGACACGCCTAAAGAAGGGAAGCAGACACTAAATCAGTAAACGACACTAAATCAGTAGAGTTTGCTTGTCTCTAAAAAACTGAAAAGTAAGACTCAGGATTTGGGGTTTTCTTCCCTTTGGCTCCTAAATCACTGTTATGAATCTCAGATAGCTCTTGCTTTTTTAAAAATGCCATTCCTTGTTCTTAAATGACCACACCATATCAGAAGCARGGACAAAAGGGAAGAAAGTCCTGGTACGACCTCATTATCTCTTTTTACATTAATTTTTAGACATATGATCCAAAGTCATCCTGCTTAAATACATTGTTATATTATATAGTAGTATTATATACATTATAAAGCATAACAAGTAATAAATCTGGGCACAAAATTTGAAAATTGAGTAGGCAACCTCTGTCGCTTACCTAAGACATGCTTGAAAAAGCAGGGATTGTCAAAATTTCACTCTTTAGAGAATGAAATTGTTCCACCTGTCATCTGTGAGCTCCATTTGCCAAGCAGCAGACMAACATGCTTTCCGGTGATTAACACATCTAAAAAAACGAATCACATCCTGATGCAACTCATTTCGCCTGGAGCCTCTTGTACAGTGCAAAGRAACACACTTGACTTACAAAATAATAATTGTAGTGGTGTCTTTGTTTTGAAGCACTCTCAGATATTTCCATTGGTAACTTTCCAGCTCTGTTCCTGCTTCTCACTGGGCCATCTCATGTAAGAAGTCTCCATACACTAATAGCGTGAATCTCCATTCACGAATAATTCACATCTGAGCTTGCTGTGTGCCGTAGAGGAATTGATAACTTTCACAATGAATTAAGCAGCCTCCAGTGTGCTCATTTGCTGGTTTTTTGTTTGTTATGCCTTTGCTGTTTTGAGGACAGAAAGTATATGTTTTGATTTTTGAGGAGCAAGTGGCAAAAGCAGTTGGCTCTTTTCAGTGTGAGAGTAAGTTCTGCACGTAAGCTTTTCCATTTCTGAATGAAGAGCTTCTCCTGAAGTGAGAGCTGATGATGTATCTCTTCCAGCACATGTTTTCAAGGCAAGATGACTAAACGGGGGGTTGTTCTGATTATAAGATTATGTAGTAGCACTTACTGACTAAAAAAAGAAAAAAGAGTTCCCTKTCTGTCCTAGTGCAGATGATGTGTGTTCCAGGCTTTCTGACTAATACTCTGATGGATATGAAAGAATGGTAAATGCAATGTCTAAGGCAAAAGTGAGGAAGGGTTTTGCTTTGGGTGAGGAGGCAGATGGTTGTTTTACTATCCTTTAGCCAGCACATTCAAGTCTCAGCTGAGCTGTCTTATTAAAGTGCTATGTGTAAATGCTTATCTTTGTTCTAAAGCAGCCTTATCTGTTCACCTTTCCTATGTACCATCCTTGCTGCATAGTCAAACTCTCAAATACTTCTGTTGCCTGTTTCCCTGGGAAACAAATAGATCCTTCCTTTTACATGACTCCTARCTAGAGCTAAAAGGGAAAAAGTAAATCACATGAAAACCTAAAAAAGCTGTTTCACATTTTCTTTTGGCTTTTGTRCAAGAAATTGGAAATTCTATGATGATTTTCTCAAAACAGCGCAGTCTGGTTTCCATTGAAAATTTTTCTTATAAATTAGTTTTGAACAATTGCTTACACAACTAGGATAATAGTTAATACAAAAAAATCACAAAAGGTTGGTAATTGTTGTGGCTTGTTCTTGGATTAAGTTCTCCATAAGCAGTAGGGGCTGAGCAGGGCAGATCTAAAGAACAACTATCTTCAGGTACCATGTATGGTTTTAGATTTGCACTCTGAAAAAAAAATTCCAAAATCCACTTCATAATAAGCAGCCTGAGTTTGGAGTCACAAGAGAAATAAATTAAAGCTGAAAGTTCCTAGTACATCTGAAAAAAAAAAATAAGCTTTCTAGAGACACAGATGGAGGAACTGCAGGTTCAGCTGTCTTTGTCTATGTCTGCATGCTGTGGCTGRCAAATGCAGAACATACAAGGTGTGAGCAATGCAACGATTGTGAAGTACAGCACACCACAGCTTGGTGTAACATTTCCTTTGCATTGTACAAGAAATGCCTGTCAAAAACGAGCACACAGAGTGCATTTTGYAAGAAAGGAGCTGAGTTAACCCTCTCTAAAACAACTCTGTCTCCCCT